GTTTAAGGATTGGAGGAGTGTAATACTAATGACAAATTTTTAAAACGTTTCCTGCATTTGAGTTTTTTTCCTTTTATTTTTTTACAGTTTTTTGAGCAGTCTAATTAAAATTCTTTTTTTAAATTTAATACTTGTGCCTTCAAATTAGTGTGGTCTAATAGTTTCGCTATTGAAATAATTTTATAAACCTGTTCTTTATATAAGAAAGTTTCTATTTTATTTTTAAACTTAAACAATTTCATATTTCCTGTACTTAACAAACCGTAAAAGCTCGTTATTTGGCGATGCGTAACAGATTATTTTGTACCAAGCAACGTAATATATGCCTTTAGAAATAGCTATTCATAATAATGGTGCAAATATTCATAAAAATTTTTAGACGATAAATGTCCATGCCATGATAGATATCCTAGCAACGGAGTATACTTACAGTGACGGAATTTTTAAAATGGAAATATTAAGCTATAAAAGTTTCTAGCCTCAATAGCTTTGATTTAGAGGTATTATGAAGCGTCGATTGGCAACATTTCCTGTTCTGATAAGACACGAGTTTCATTTCTTATTAAAAAACCTGTTTCTAAGAGTTAAAAAAAATTAATTCATCTAGAAATTTGCACACTTAAAAAAGAATTTAATTATTCATTCCTTAGAGGATGCAGCATAACTAAATAATAATATTTTATCAATGAATACTGTTTCGACTGTGAAATATGACACATTACTACATTCCTAAAACCTCTTTTCAAGGAAACATTTTCAACCCTTTTATTTTAAGCATCTCTTTATTGCCTTCTTCGTCCCAAAATATGTTTTTAACACTTTTTACAACAATATTTTTAGTTCTTATGCTAATATTCATATCTTAATTTTAATTTCTGACAATATATTATTGAAAAATTTTCATTAGATTCTCTCACTCCTACATAATCAAAGTATATAACTAACATTTGGATTTTACTTTTCAATCATCGTTGAAACTCCAACCATTCACTCGATTTTTGCTGCCCAACATGTTAAGATTATTATTTATACGCCATTTGGTAAACTTTTTTTTCTCTTGTATAAAATCACATGAATATAATCTATTTTAAAATACCTATGTTAAAATACCTCATTGCATTCGAAAATGAGTTTTGTATCAGAATGCTAATTTTGATTGCAATTAGTCTTCATTTATATCTATTTTAGCAATTATTCATTAGTTCTTTTTGAATGCTTCTTTTAATAACATTTTAAATTATTTAAGAGAATATATGAGGTGTGACACACAAAATATTAGACTGTGTAGTTGGAAAAAACAGTGAATTGGCAACAACTGTTTTGGTGTTGTCATCCCACACACCTCCTCTATCCATGCGGCCAGTTTCGACTTAACCGATCACACCAGTTGGAAATACTGCGTCATTCAGTGAACATGTGCAACTGCATTATGCCGGAAAAAATGTCCAATGTAAAAACCGAACAGCGAATCAACACCAAGTTTCTTGTGAAACTCAAGAAATCAGCCACGGAAACATTTCAAATGTTAACTGAGGCTTATGGAGATGAAACTTTGTCTCATGCACGTGTGTTTAAATGGCATAAGCGGTTTTTAGGGGGAAGGGACAAAGCACGCTTGTCAAAATCAAAATTCAAGGCAATGTTAACTGTCTCTTTCGACATTAACGGAATTGTAATGATTGAGTGGGTTCCCAGTGGTAAGACTTTTAATCAACACTACTACATTGAAGTACTAAAAAGACTTCGTGAAAAAATTAGGGAAAAAAGGCCACAGTTGTGGAGTGGGACAATGCACCCGCTCACACGGCCCTATCTGTCAAGCAGTTTCTGACCAGCAAAAACATTACTGAGATGGGACATCCTCTTTATTCACCTGATTTGGCTCCATGCGACTTTTATTTCATAAAGTTAATTTTTTCTTAAAGGGAAGCCATTTTACCTCAGTTGAAGAGGTTAAGGCAAAAACGGAGAATCTCCTGAAGGGCCTTCTAAAAACCAGCACTATTATCAGCAATGGCAGCTCCGAATGCAGAAGGGGACTACTTTGAAGGTGATAATGTCATGGAGAACTGATTCTGTAAGTACAATGATTTATTCGACCAGTTTCTTTTCTTTTTTTTCTTTTTTTGTGTGTTATATCTTATAAAAGTACACTTTGGTTTGTTAGCACATTGAAATATTTTAGAGCTTTATATCAATTAATTGCACCAACCTGAATCTGGAATATAATCCGTAGCTCTAATGTACCTGGTATTATTATTCTCTGTATTTGTAAATGTAGCTAGAAAATGCTTGATTGCATTTGAAATTCCATATTTTGGGCTAAATTGTATATAGAAGTTGAAATTTTAGAGGTGTCGTCCAGACGGGATGCTGGTTAGTGACGCTGACTGCTGTATCGAAGGGACCGAATTCGAATGCATGGATGTATATAAATGTATAGTTTTTGTACGGCATGGAGGCAATCAAACTACATAGCGAGCTCAAAGTCCTTTCGAGAGCATGGAAGACCCTAGGACCCGTCTCCTGGGTGCTCTCTTTCAAAATTGGGTCGGAACTAGGCAAAGTTGTGTTGTCACGTATATGATCACCAAGGCTCATCTCAGCGACATATGCAATCTTGCACTCTTAAATTCGTGGGCTGATTAGGCTGTACAACTCAGATTTACCACAAGAATTATGCATGTTGTATTGCCCTTTTACATGTATAGTTATGATATGTTGTAACTCATGTACTGGATATGTCTAGGTAACTTCTAGCTCACGATGAAATATATATAAGCATTTGTTTGTTTATAGGGCTTACTTAAACGCAAGCTTTTTATATGGCAGATGTTTCGAATGAATATATCTATGTAAAAAGGGAACTTTCCAGACAGCACCATTTATTTTATTCGTGATGTTTCACTTTCCAAAAATATTAGTATTTTCTTTAGTGCGGGGTGTTTTCTACCGCACTGACAATATAGAATCAGTTTCGGTTAGCCTTGAACGAAGGCCCTTCGCTTATATAGATAGTCCTCCTGTGCTTTGCCATATTCGAATAAACTAATCTAACCTTAGACATGCAATAAAAATATTAGTATAGTTAAACATTTTGGTGATAAAACATGCGCTGAAACGTTAAGGGCATGTTATCCGTTTCACTCTACGTAATTTAATACGTTTTGTATGCGGATTTGTACTATTTTGGAGAAAATACTGCAGTTATCGCCACTTGTCTTCTGCAGGTTGGAAAGTTTCACAACTGGCGTCTCCAGCAGAAAAAAACTTTTGCATTTATCAGAATGTGGAAACTAATTCAGCGTGCTTTCAGAACGCCGTTTCGCAAGAACCCATCTTCAGGAGTATCGATGTAGAAAGGCAAGGATCCGTTTCTAAGGAAAGAACATTAGTTATCCATGTGTGAGTGGGTTCAGCTGGCTAGCAGACTGGAAGTCTGTTGCATCATAAAGAAAGCTCTCACTAATCACGTTTAATGTGGACAGGACTTTCAAAAGCTCTCTAGTTAAAATAGTAACAATTACTAATGTGCAACTAAACTCAACTTTGCATACAAAGAGTATAAAACTCTGCAGCTCACAAAATACAATTGAGTTGTCTTTATAAGAATTAAACAGATAAAATGATAGTTTTTGGAAGTGTTTTGAGTTGTAATACTTTGTTCAACAAACTTCCAGTATTATGAAGCTATAATTGCAAGTATATTTAATACAATAATGCTTACAAGTACTCTGCAAACCAGTTAAACTAACTTACTGCTACAGGACGAATCGTCCTGCTAGTTGCAAAGAGTAATCTAGTTAATGCTTCCGTTATCTCTGAAATGAAGTTAACAAATCGCCCCTGCTTAAATTAAAATTTTTTGTGTTAAAATTCATATAACTACATATTTCTACAAGATGAATCATTCTATTCAACTGCAAAGCGTATTCTGTTTGGCGGTTATATTATTTCTGAAATGAACTGAAAAAGCTCCTGTTTGTATTAAAATTTATTGTATAAAATATTCTACCTTTCTGTTTGCCGACGTAATAGAGAAATCAAGAAACTAGGGCATGAATGAAGCTATGATGAGGTGAGTAGTTTACTAACAAGGATTGCTGTAATTAAGAGATTGTACATAAAACGTTTAATAAACAGGTTTGATAAAGTATGTAGTGATTATTCTCGACATTAGAGGATATCAAACAACACTAAGAATCTAATCATCACATACACTTTAAATTAACACTTTTAGAAATATCATATGAATCAAAAATTAAGTTTCAAAATGACTTTATATAGCTAAAATTGTATTTTTTCAATTAAAAGGAGCAGCAGATAATTTAAGAGTAAAAGTCTTCTTTTCTGCAACCTGAAGTAGCTACAAAGAAAACTTAAATCGATAAGAAAACTGAAGACCTTAGCTCTCAACAGAGCCGACAAAAGATAACTGCGGTATCAAACATACCTACACGTGGAGTTGTTCAGAAAATGTTCACATTTTAACGCTAAAAGCTTGCATTTAGCTTCATTTAGCATTTAACGCAACATCTCTTTGTCGAAAAAGAATCAAAATTCTTTTTTGTTCTTTCATGACGAATTACGTTTGATTTATCCGCACTAGTAAGGTAAAATAAAAATGATACTGAAAGGCAACAGGTTTTATATTGTGTTAATCAATCATCACATTCTCACATATGGCAAATGATTCATTCTCAGAAATTTAATATTTAAAAAGCTGCTGATGGAAAGTACTGTTAATGATTGTTGATAGAACCTGTTATTCCTCTCACAAAAGTGCTCCGGATTTGCCCAAGTGAAAACAAATCAATAAAACGAGCATCCTAAGCATCACCGATGAAAAGATGCGTTAGTTGGATGTTCAAAAACATCTTCCAGATCCCAGTCTTGTAGAGCACTTATTTATTGCTAGCTGAAAAATGGAAGACATAGGGGAGGGGGGGGGCGTAAAGTTAAATAGGCAAAAGAAAGTAACTATGTAAATATTCACTTACCGGATCAGAAAATGTAATCCAGAGTCAGAAGTACTGAATGCCCACTTCAAACGTCCTAAATTAGGAAGAGAGGAGAACAAAAAAATTTTAGCATTAAACTCTCAGATAGCTCCTGTATACACATGCACAACACAATAACAATATCAGAAATTCCAATCGTTTGAAAGTCAAGTCGAAAAACACCAACCCTGAATAGGCGAGAGGAAAATCACCTTTCGAAGGTGGCCGCCGATTGACTAGAAAAGATTTCCGGTCTGAGCACAGACTTCAGTCAAGAGACCTTGCCTGGATGCCGATAGATGGCGCGCACAGGAATACCTGCAGATGCGGGATTTATCTGATGGTTATTTAAGTTCACATTCTAAAACAGTTACGATTCCCATTCTAGCGGGATTATATTGAACTCGTGCAAAAATTTTAGTGAGGTAGGCTGATGTTCAGAGCAGCAAATTTCTAGTTGTGGATAATTTCTCAGTGGAAGAAATGAATTTATAAAAACCTGCTTACGCTGAATTTTTTGGAAAAATTTTTCCTTTAATTTTATTTAAAAAATTAGCTACATTATGTTGTATTTTATATTTAAGGAAGAAAATGTTATGCGTTTTCTTCAATACCAATTCCTGCTTTCCTTTTTCTAGCATTATGTATATTTTTAATTTTAAACTAGCGCACGACTTTTTAAGCAGCCATTAAAGTAGCCTTTTTTTCCTCCGCAAAGATTTTCTTTTGTTTAAATGTGACGATATTAAAAGGCCTAAGCAGGGTAACATACTTCAAATTTTTCAGTATAAATGACGCTTGAATAAGGCAGATTTGAAATGTGGACCTCCGTTTATAGTCCCCCCCCTCATTTTTTTTTTCTTCTGTAACTATTAAAACTTTGAGTTTCAAGCAGTTTAATATCTTGCACACGAGCCGCGAAGCTTAGATATATTGAAAACATTGAGGAAAAAAAATTGCTTATATCATGAATGGGTAAAATGCGTGCAGATCCATTTTGCCATTTGTTTTAAAATATACATAAATCCATTACAAAAGTTCTTCTTTTTAGAGTTTCATGTTAATAACATGCATAACATTATTACTGTTTTGTATCATGCTTGGAAATACAGATGAAGCTACCGGAAGACAGGATTTTTTCCTTACAGATAAATGACACAATCTTCAGTGTCTATAAACACATCCTACTTGATAAATTTATTTATTCCTTCTTATATTCTCGATAAATTTTTCCTATTCTTTAGTGTAAAAATACATTATATAAACCTACAGCATAGAAACTATGTACTTATAAAATCTCAGTGTTATAGGTAATGCCTCTTTTTACCAGTACACTGTTAAAACAATTTTAAGGAAGCAAAAATTATCCGCTGATTGTACAGAATCTGATAATTTCCGATTATGCTTGCGTGATTTCCCCGTACATGAAAGCCCCACTAACGGCTGAGTGGATAAAGTCGCTGAACGCCGGTAGTTCAGTCTGATATTTGAATCCCAGCGAACGGGCCGGCTGCATGGACAGTTTTCCCCATGCAAAGCATGATTATGAGACAGTTTTCCTTAAAAAGTCCTCCATGAAGGCATCTCTCCCTTAGGCAGATAAATATCCAGTGATTTGCCATAAACAATCAAAACTAAACCCCTTAGGGTCAGTCATGACAAGTTATGATTTGTTCAGAAAGAAAGATTTCTTTTGTAAATGGTTGAAGATTTCCCCCTTTTTTTACCAATTCTGCACCACAAAATAATCACAGAAACATCCGATAAGCCTTGAAAGAGACTGGATTGTATTGCAGTTTTAACTCCCTACTTACCGATGTAATGACGAAACGACATTCATGGTTAATTCAAAATCCCGGTTCATGTGGCAAAAATCAAAGTTTAAAATCACGCAGGCAGCTAAAAACGCGCAGGAAAGAGCCATTTTATAATCAACAGAAAAATATTATTAACTATTTATCCGTATTTTCAAGCGTTTGATCTAGAGAATAAATTCAAATGATTTTGTAAATTAATTCATTATTCAACACAAAAAGAGCAAACTGTAAATAACAGAAAAATAAACAGCATTAGAAATGGAGAAAAGTTATAATAAAAGAACAATATTTAGAACTTGAACAAAATCATTGAGTTTAAACTCACGCAAAATGTCATACAAAACTTCATTTCTATTGCAGTATGTTTATATATTGTGAATTAGAAAAAACAAATTTCAAATACTACGATAGCATCTGCATGTTGTTACAAATATCTTTATTTCCCTTAGACAGTTTTAACGCTGATGATTTTGTAATAAAAATTTTACCATTGTTTCCTAATAAACAAATTATTCTTCTTTAGATAAAACTGATTAATTCACCCTACGCTTAATTTGCATAGTTGACGTATGCAAAAAAGAGCAAAGCTCACAAGAAATCTATGCCTAAGCTCCATTCCAGTTTTAACTGAAAGCTAAGGTGGATGCCTTCGTAGAGGACTTACTGAGGGAAAAATGGCTCATATTCACGTCATAATGCCTAAAACCATGAAAACGCCATGTAGCTAACTCATTCACCCGGATTAAAATTTAGGTCGAACTACCAATTTTCAGCAGTCTTATTTGTCGGTCACAGGTAACAGAGCTCAAGGGACATAATTAATGCACTTGTAAGTGAGGCAATGCACATAGTTGGCAGTTTCTCCAATGCAAAATGGATCTACCAGAATTTTTGGGCGATTTTATTATTCGGTCAGTTTAGTCTTTCAAGAATCTTATCTTTTAAGAAAGAATCTTATCTTTTTTTTATTTATCTTTTAAGAAAAGATCATTAAAGAATCGTTTTAATTACGCCTTAAAGAAACATAACACTTTTTTTTCCAGCTTCATCATTCAAAGCTTCGCCTGAAGTTCTAATTTTTACTCATTAATTATTCATTTACTTCATAATACACTGGATAACACGAAACTGACTCCCTAGGTGCGATTTGGGGCGATGTAAAAAAAGAAAGTGATTGAAAAAGGTATTTAAAAAATAAATTCAGACTAAACGGCCCAAATAATAACACAGAAAATCTGTTAAAAACATTTCAGTGCTCGAAGATTTCTTTTACGGCTCTCAGAAATAAACTACGTATTGTACTTACATACATACAAAAACATTCAATTTCGTTTCTATTTCTTCCTTCCCATAAAACATGTTCTTCAAAGAGATCAAAAGCATTCTCAGTACCATCGAGGAACGCTGAAGAAAGTGTTACATAACTAGTTCCAGACAGCACTTTTACATACTTTGTTTACAATTTTCTTTCACGCACGGAAGAATTCAAAAGGCGTTCATGCGAGTTGAACTATTTATGTATAACTTTAGATAAAATTATTCTAGCGGTACAGAAAAGGTTATAAAAAATTGACCAATAGAGAATTTATGGATACAAATCTAATACATAATGCAGTTTAAAACAAAAGGCTGTTATGCCGCGATTTGGAAACTCAGTGAACCAAAACCGCAGCATTCAGATCTAGATCGAAAGTAAAGATTGTTTAAATTAGATACGTAGGATAGTACAAAGATTTGATATTCGATTAACGAGATAACTCGAGCTTTCTGATTTATAATATTAGAAGCGATCATCAGGCGTTTTCGTAACAGTCTCCCAGACGTACTTCGTCATTTCAAGTACTTATAATAATCTCCAAAAATATGCGCATATGTAAAATGTTTTTCCCACGTGTATATTTCTTTTGCATACGTATTTCACCAACACAAATCATTAATTATTAAGTTAATTATTTAGCTATCAAATAAAAGGCTTACAATCAAAATATGCTTAAAGAGCTAAGGAATTCCTATTTTTTTTGCAGCGTGACAGATCTAAATTTCCCCAACAAGATGCAAATAAAGATTTTTGTAAGAACGCTTTGGATGAGGGAATCAAAAGACTTGAGTTTATTGACCACACACTCGTCTAGTGGAAAAGAGTATAATCTGTGTCAGTGTCAGCCATGAAAGAAAACCCGTCCAATCGAAGGCCATTGAAATAGAGAGTGTTTATGCTTGACCGGTGACTGACTCCCAGATGCTGCGACTGATCAAAATTGGTTCAAGTGCCTTTGGAGGACAACACCCCACGCCGAATCTCATTGCAATGTGCAACACTCTTGGACCGAAACCGGTGTGAAGAAGTATTTCCACTAAAACTTGAGCCATCACTCAATACATCTGCGGTCAATTTGCATCAATAAAATACAAAAAGTGGCCCCAAAGAATCGCATCAGAGGATATTTTTGCAATGAGTGTACGAACATTTCCACTCTTCTGTGAAACGCCCCGCTTGCTGAATGTCATTTACAGCTTTGCTGCGGTATATTGAATAGCACTTTACGAATACAGGGTGTGGTACAGTTAGAGATTTATTTATGTTGGAAAGCATTCTTGCCTCAAGAAATTTTTTTGAAGGGAGAGTTCAAGACTTTAGAGAAGCATGAGATTACTAACCCAGTACAGCTGACAACTACTCAGAGTTGTTGGTAAGCTTACAAATCCCACAGTAAAGAAGTCATTATATATATATATATATATATATATATATTTCCAAATATCGTGAATCAAAAAAGAGTTTTTTCGGGGGGGGGGGGAGGGGGATAAAGTGCATCAAGACAAAGATTTAGAGCTCTGTTTTTTTGAATGTGATGTAGAAAAGCCAACGGCATACAGCTATAAAAATTTTCTTTATTTTAAAAATGCATTTTTTTTCCTGGGTGCGGTTGTAATATGTTTTTAGTTTAAATCCTCACAATTTTTGTAAAAACGCAAAAACTATAACTCTTTGGGTAATTTTAAAGGTGTCCTAAAAAGTCATTATACGCACATGATGTATATCTTACTAAATGTTATAAATTTAAATTTTTTTGTTTTCCCTATTATACAATTATAACTTATATACTTATTTTCGCAATTACACAGAATTAAAATACCATTTAAATCTAGACAGTAGGAGCTTTTGAAAATACACAACAGCTTATTCCTGAAACGAAGACTTTGCATAAACTGTTGTGCTTCATAAAGCGTTTAAGAA